ATGTGTACTACTGTTTCATGAGAAACTATTTGTTCTGTAAGCCTTCACCTCAAGTACAATAAAAAAAAAAAAATTAAGTATAAAAAAAAAAAAAGCAACTCTGGAGACACCATCAAGCAGACCAACATACACATTATGGAATCCCAGAAGGAGAAGGGAGAGGGAAAGGGGCGGAAAGAATATTTGAAGAAATAATGGCCGAAAAAGTCCCAAATCTGACGAAAGATGTGAATCTACACATCCAAGGAGCTCAACAAACTCCAAGTAGGATAAACTCAAAGAGATTCACACCAAAACATCCCACCTGGCCTGCCCAACTAACCAAAATGGTGCAAGAAGACGAGAGGGTTTAGAAAACAACTCCTGGGGACCATGGGAGTCATTCCTGATCGTCTGGGCCAATGGCTGGGAGTGGGTGATCAGCTCACCAAAAACAAAATGCAGTGATGACAATATTTACAGTGAACCTTTATGGCGCACACACATACTATGTGCTCCCAGATACACAGTGGATTAACCCACTGACTGCTTCTCTCTCCACTCTGGGGTGAGAAAACAGGCACAGAGGGTGTAAGGGACTTGCCCAAGGTCTCAGAGCCCAGGCTGTCCAGCTCCAAATGTGTGATTGTTCCTCTTGATTTGTTCCCTTTCCCAGTTTTCAGAATACTGGGTTGGGCCCTAGAGTCTCCAAAGGGGATCAAGGAGACGTTGTCTGTCTTTAGTATCATAAACACATGGATTCTAACATATTTGATGCTTCAGTCTACAACAGTCACAATTCTTTCATTTGCATAAACTTTCGTATCTTGGCCAGAGGTGCCCCCAGAGGAGCTGAGCCTATGGGCTGGGTCCTCTTGCCCACAGCCCCAGAACAAAACCTCGTACTCTTGGCTCCTCAACGGTGTTAGCTTTGGACTCTGGTTCAAAACACTGCCTGGTTCATGCCCAGGGAAGGGCACATGACAGAGTGATGGAACAGTTGCCGTGGACCTCCTTCTCCCCAGGACAGGTCCATGCGTGTGCACAGTGCCTCCCCCACCCCGCTGGCATGTTCTGTAAAGCCAGAGAGCCTCTAACTCGGGGGGCTGGTGTGTACTGAGCCCATCCCCCATCGCCCTTGTCTGACCAGCTCTCCAGCTTACTTCGATCCTCTGAGATAATCTGCACCAGCTCATAGTCATCTGGCTCGTCCTCATCCAGGTTGTGTTTGTCCATGGCCTTGCGGATCACAGTAGGCGCCTTATCTTGGCTGGTTACCTGGAGTGGGGGTGAGGGACAGGCCATCAAGGCCAGGGTCCTGGAGCTGGCTCCTCAGAGTGGAGTGGCCCGGGATCATCCGGAGCCGACTCAGCAGTGAGTACACTCATAGCCTCAGGTTGGGTGCAGTCAGGTGATGGGTCCTTGAGGGCCTTGCCTCCTCCTCCTCCTCCCCAGAGACCTCCATTTAATGAAAGGGGGGCCCTTCCCAACCGCTCCCTCCCCCCATCTCCTACAAGAGCCTGCCACCATCCCCTACGAGCCTCAGGAAACTGCTTGACCCCCGGGGCACTGCCACTCCCTACCAGGCCCAGTCTCTCCAGGGTAACAATATCAATGACCCTGCAGAACAGAGCGTGTCTAGCCCAAGCCCTGTATGGAAGAGGAGGAGCTGCCCAGATGCCTACTCCCCAGCCTGCTGGGCTCCAAGAGAAGTGGCAGTCAGCACAGGCTGGACTCCCAGCTGCCCCGTCCCCAAGGGCCAGGGTGCAGGCAGGGTTTAGACCAAGGGTCATACAAGCAACCGCTTAATTACAGCCACGTTAGCTAGCTCCTGGCATTGAGAGACACGCAGCGGGAGGCGGGTGTGTAATGGGGCACTTGACCCCAATCACATCCAGAAGCTGACTACTGCCCCACCACGGCCACCACCCTGGGCAGCTGCTGTTCCTCCCCCCTTGGACTGCAAAGCAGCCTCCCAACTGGCCTCTCCGTGTCTCCCGGCACCAGCCCATCCCTACAAGAAGCCAAAGTCACCTGCTGTCCCTCCTCTGCTCCAATCCCCAGTGGCCCCATCTCATTCTGGAGAAAACCCACAGGGCCTGATGTGACCCAGCCCCCCGACACTTTTTGACCTCAATTCTTACCCCCTTGACCCCTGCTCCTTCACCTCTGGCCTCCTTGCTGCTCCAACTTCCAGGCACCCTCCCTCCTAGGGGCTTTGCAGGGCTGTTTCTCCCTCCCAAGCTTCCAAGGGGCTTTCTCAGTGAGGCCTCCCTGGCCATCCCATTTCAATGTGCAACCTCAACCCAACATCCACGGCCCTTAGCGCTGATTGCCATCAAACACCCTGTCTCCTTTACGTCCATACCTGGCTGACTGACTGCCCTTCCCAGCCCACTAGTGTCAGCTCCGGAGTCCTGGTGGCATAGTGGTTAAGAGTTTGGCTGCTAACCAAAAGTTTGGCAGTTTAAACCCACCAGGCACTCCTTGGAAACCCTATGGGCCAGTTCTACTCTGTCCTATAGGGTCGCTATGTGTTGGAACCGACTCGAAGGCACCTAACAACAACAACAGCATCAGCTCCAGGAGGGCAGGGAGGGTCGTGTCACTCAGTGTGTGTTACTGTCTGGTCGCTCACCAGGATGCTCTTGTACATGTTGCCGTTGTCCACGTCGAGGCTGACGCGGATGATGCAGCAGTCGCCCACCTGCTGGTTGTAGAGGGGCAGCGAGGAGTTGTAGCTGCAGACCCCTGAGACAGAGCGCTTGTGGGTGCGTGTGGACGCCACGGGCGTGGTGGAGGACGAGGAGGACGAGGTACTACTGGAGGCCGAGCTGATGCCGGAGGTCTCTGGGGATGACTGGGAGGCTGACTCCCAGAACTGCGGGGACAGTGACATCAGCAAAAGCCCCGCACCCTGCAGGGCACCCTACGCTGGTGTCCAGCTTGGAGCAGGGACGCTTCTAGGAGCTCTGTTCCAGACCAGAGGCCTCTCAACCCCTTTTGTGGGTGTGCAGTGGGGAATGCTGGCACTGGGAAGCAGGGGCTGGGGCAGGGTTGCCAGAGAAAAGGGGCAGTCACCTTCTTCTCCTGGCAGTCAGGAGACTCTGGAACAAAGCTCATGTTGATTTCTTCCACGTCGGAGCTGGAGGAGCCGGCAGAGTGCACGCTGAGCACTTCAGCTGTGTCCCCACTGCTGAGGTAGGGGCTGCACTTGAGCTGGTCACAGGACTTGGAATGGCAGCTGCTGCTGGTACTGAGCTCTGTGCTGGGGGCCTGGCGGCTGGATGGAAGGGCTGGCTTATTGCCCACCCTCCCCCTGCTACCACTGCACTCCGAGCACCAGGCACTGTGCCAAGTGCTCAGTCAGTCCACAGTACCCCATTGCTCGAGCCATCTGAGATCATTTAGCATCACCCCATTTCACAGAGGAGAAAACTGAGACCCAGAGAAATGAGGTGACTGGCTCCAGTCACAGGGCTGGTCAGCAGTGTAGCTGGATCCCAGCGCCAGGCTGTGAATCCCTGAGCCCACACTCCGCCCTGGGGCAGCCCACCCCGACCGCCCTGGCCAAGGCACTCACTCGCTCCAGCGCTTGACTATGGCTGTGTTCTTCTTGGCCTTGAGGGTGTTGCTGGCTGACTCAGATGGGGGTTCCAGTTCACACGACAGGTTGTAGCTACGGGATAGAGCGGCAGCTGTGAGGCCTCTGGGAGCCACCTCTCAGGTCTCCGTCCTGTGGCCGGGTGTCGCCAGGCAACAGACTCTGATGCTGACCAAAGGGCCCTGGCCACAGGCTCTCTGGAGCTGGCCACCAGGGAGAGCTCACTCCTGCCTTCAGCCAATGCCTGGGCTGGCCTTACCTCTCAGTCTCACTGAGCCGATCCATGGCTCGGAACCAGGCCATAAAGTGCTCCTCGGGGGCGATGCTGTAATTGTTGCAGGCCGACTGGAGCAGCTTGATCTGGGCAATCACTTCGAATTCCTGCAGTCAGACGGGAGGGCAAGGTGCTGAGGGTCTGGGTGGGGGGTGGGGCGGGGGGCCAGTGTGCGTCTCTCTTCATGTGGGGCTGCCTCCTCCCATCCAGCCCCTCCCCGTTCTCAGAGCCCGGTTCAGACAGCCCCTCCTCCAGGAAGCTGTCCTTGAGTCCAACCCTTAACCCACTCTCCAGTGGGTCCGTTCTCCCCCTTCTCTGCATCAAACTCTCTCCATAAACGTAAGATGAAGGAGGATAGAGCTAGGGAGTGTCCTGCCCAGTTAGGTCTCCGATTTCTACCCTACCCCCCGCAGCACGGATCACAGCTGCTTACCTTCCTCCTCTTCTCAAAGTTGATCATTCTCCCCTGGAAGGCAGATCACCACCATCCATCAGACAGTCCTAGGCCATCACCAGTGAACCACACCCCCTAATGCTGCACTACCGCGAGGGCCCACCAGGGGGCAGCACACTTGCATATACTGGACTCAGACTTCGGCCTGGTTCTTCTGGGCACCAGGGCAGGGAGGACCAGAGCAGAGGTTCAGGGACCTTCTAGTCCAACCCTCTCTGACAACAGATGGAGAGTCTGAGACCTCAGGCAGGAAGGCACTACCCCGCCACTCATGTGCTGCCTGACCTTGGAGGGCCCAACTTCATTCTCCTGCCCACAGCCCCCACCTTAGGGAGGGGCTATGTCCAGCTCAGTCAAAACCCCATGCAGCTTTGCAGGCAGGCCATTTGGCTGCTTTTCTGACCAAGGCACCAAGACTGGCAGCTTATGCCAAGCCTTTGTTTATTCAATAGTAAGATGGATGTGACACCCCTAGCTCACAGGGGCACCATTCCCAAGTGCTGACAGCTCAGTGCTCAATAAGGGGGCCCGCTGTTCCCAAGCCTCAGGATCCCAGTCCCACCCTGGCCCCCCGGCTCACTCACATACAGATAATCCTTCATCGCTGTGTCCAGCATCACCAGGTCAGTGAGGAACGTGCCAAGGTAGGGAACAGTGCCCTGGATGACACCCTGTGACATCGAGGTGGGGTGAGGATGAGCACATGCTCTCAGTGCAAGCGAAGGCCCCTCCCTTAAAGACTTCTAGGCCCCTACTCCAAGCTTCCCACTTGGAGCAGCCTCGGGATACTTAGTTGCCTTCCTCCAAGTCTCCCTCCTGGCCTCCACAGACTCCAATCCCCCTCTAGTCACCTCCTAGGGCCGGCTTTTGGCACATCACAAAGGTTGTGTGGTCTGGGCCCCTCCCCACCCACAAATCCACCTGAGCCCAGCTCTTCCAGGCCCTGGCTCTGGCTGCCTGCAACTCATCCCCACAAGATCCTAGCTGGTCAAGGTCTGGCCCTCCCAGAACCCAGAGAAGGTCTTGTCCAATGGAGGCATTTCAGGCTCTGTGGCCACAGGAGGGAAGGCTGGAGGAGAAGAGGGTCCCAGCTCTCCTGACTGGAGGCCAGTCTCCCCTGCCCTCCCCAGCCTCGTGCACTCACCAACTCCCTCTGCCGCTTCGGGGCTCTCCTGGTGGTCATCTCCAGGGTGGCAAACTTGGAGGTCCCCTCCTGCAGGGTCGGGGAAGAGGTCAGTGAGGCCATCCTCCCCTCGGCACTTTTTTCCTGCAATGCTGCTGACCTCGGGTCTTGGACACCCGGCCTGAGTCAGCCGATACACACACTACTGCCCCCCTCCCGTGTCCTCTGATTTTAGATATGAATCCTAGCTCCAACCCTGTCCCGGGTGTGACCCTGGGTAAGCCGCCTGGCCTCTCTCTGAGCCTGTTTCCTCATCTGGAAAGTACAGATGAAAACTTCACCTACCTCACAGGGTCTCGGGAAGACTCAAGGTTATATTACTATTACCATTGTTCTCACCATGGCGTACCCTCCACAAAGCTCAGGCACGTTTCTTTTCTCCCGTGAACCTCCTCACCACCTGGTGAGGCTGGCGCCACATGATCGTCACACCTCCATTTTCCAGATGAGGAAACAGCCCCAGACAGGGGCAGGACTTGTCCAGAGCACACAAGGAGTCAGAGGAGAGTCGAGCTCCTCCCTCCCAGCCAGAGGACCGGTCCAAGCTGCCTTCACCCCACCCCCACCAACACTGACCAGAAGGCCTTGTTGAGCGGCTTCTGCCTGTTCCAGCCCCTCTGGAGTCTCTGCCCCCAGGATGGGCTTGAGGCCATGCCAAAGGCTTCATCTCCCTTGTTTTCGTCCACTCAGGAGGAGTCTCCTGGGAGCACTGGTAGCTATTCTTTGCCTCCTCTTTTACGTGGAAGCTTCTCAGATATGGTCATTAGTCCCCCCAGATAACTTCTCATAAGCCAGATGGGGCACAGGAGAATGTCTTTGCTAGTGAGACGGTGTGATGAAGATCCTGAGGCTATGACTGATGGGCAGTGTCTGCCCTAGGGGTATGGTGGAGGGTCGCAGAATGCAGACACACCTGCCTCCCAGGTCTAGCTACTTAGACCCAAGGCTGGGCAGCCCCTTTGGCCACCTAGCCCATGGGGACCTCAGCAGTCCCCATCCCTGGTGCAGGCAGGGTGACCTTCCTTGGGTAAGCAGTGCAGGCACAGAGAGAAGGAGCAGCAGGGGTCTGGCTTCATGAGGACAGCCTGGGCTGGTTTGGAGAAAAAAGGACCCCAACCTCCAACCCAATCCACCCAACAGCCTGGAGGAAGCTCAGTCCAAGCTGGAGGGGCCAGCATGGAAGCCAGAGAGCTGCTAACTCTGCCAGCCACCACCACTATATCCAGTTACCAGGGGCCTCTTGCCTCCCAAACTGCCCCCAACACGCCCATGGACAGACAGACCCCTCTTCTGCTTGGTTCAGAGAAAACAAACCTGGAAGTTTTCAAAGAAACTTTCAGGGAGAAGCTAACAACCCCTCATCTGCCTTGCCCCATGCAGCAACCTCCCTCACCCTGGCCTCCTGTTTACCTTGATGAGCAGCTCCCGGCTCAGTGAGTAGTTGTTCTCATCTGAGAAGATCTCAGACAGCTTTTGAAAGATTCGGAAACTCTCCCTGTGAGGAGAGCAAACAAGGAAGGAGAAAGTTGGGAATGGTAGGGAGGGGTGTGAGTACAAGTCCATTATACTTCAGAACCCGAAGGATCCAAAGTGCCTGGACGAGTAGTTTTCAAACTGGGTTCCTCTGAGCTCTAAGGGGTGCCATAGGGCTGGGGAGGTGAGGGCTCACGTTGGTGTAATTGGGGACCCTCACTCTCAGTTCAACTGAGCAGTTCTGCTTTGACCAGTTTTGATTTTAGCTGAACAAAGAGTTGGGTTGCAGTGAAGTAAAAAAATGGAAAATCTTCTGTGTGGCCCAACCCTGTATCTGATTGATCTGGAAACCAAGGCCTGAGGCAGAACTGCTGGCCTAAGGTCACATGGAGACCCAGCCCAGCAGCCCCATCCCTGCCCCCAGGAATGGCTGCCTCCCAGCAGTCCTGGCTCACTGCGGGGGGCCAGTCCAGTGCCCAGCCCTATGGGAGGTCATGGGCCCACCTTGGTGCTCCTCCACAGGGAGGTCTGCCCACCTGGAAACTTCTTCCCATGTCTTCTTCAGACGGTGAATCGCATTGCTCTGCAGAGCAGAGAGGACAGCATGGAGTGATGAGAAATTCTTGAGGATTCGACACTCCTGGGGGAGGGAAAAGAATGAGCTGGAGCTCCCGCCTGCTCCAGCTTCCTCCCAGTCAGCTGACATCTCCCCTCCGGGAAGAGACAGACGCCCAGGAGCCCCTGAGGGCACACCCTGCACCCACTGGGTTACACACTCAGGGAGGAGGATTTTAGCTTTATCTAAGGAAGGAACTTAGAGCCTGGGTGGTGCAAGCATTTTGGGACTGCTAACCTACAGGTTGGTGGTTCGAACCCTCCCAGCTGCTCTGCGGAAGGAAGACCTGTCTTAGACCACATATTGCTATCTTGAGGGCTGATCAAAGCAAAGAGGGAGTACCGGGACTGGGGAGAGGGGTCCCCTGGGCCCCTCCCACAGCATACCCTGGCCACCTCGATCCAGTGTTCCACTACCCTAGCCCTGTCTGTGGCCTTCATGTTCCGGTCCCCCAGGCAGGTGGTGATGACGCAGTTGGCCACGCTGTTGAACTGTGTGACGGTGGCGCGTATAGTGGGTGCCAGGTGCTCCTTGCCCTTCTTGTCCCGCTGGGACCAGATGGAGCCCAGGCAGTGATAGGGCACCACCTTCTTGAACAGCTCCTGAGGAGAACGGGGAGTGTCACTGGCCCTGTCTGCCCCAGTGAAGCCTGCAGGACCCCCAAGTCCCAGGCTGGGGCCTAGTGGTCTGAGCTGGAGCTCAGGAAGCTGAGAATGTGGCTCAAGCTTGCGAGGGTCTCTGGGTTTTGTTCTCTGCCCACTGAGGGAGCCCAACACACCAGGGACCCAGGACCCAATGATGGCAGGAAGAGAGAGGCATCTTCACTCAGCCATCCTCCCTCATGAAGTACCAGAAGGCAATACTTTCCACCCACTCTGATGACTTCTGGTCTATCTCCCCGTTCAGATGCACATTCTTTGTGGGCACTACAACTGGGAGCTTTGTTCGGCTGTGTGCCAGACAGTCTAGTACACATCAGGTGTCTAATAAATGTAGAGGCTGGTGAGGCCCTGGAGAGATGGGTGAATGACCCATGGGCCTAGCGGCACACCAGTGAGCACCTCTCTGCCCCGTAATGGGCCAGGGCCCCACCAAGCTTTCTCTTTGTTCTATCTCATTCAATCTTCACGGCACTCTGTGCATCCCAGTCGTGTCCCATCTCTACTGTCCAGAGGTGGAAAGCAAGACTTTGGAGGGTAAGAAACTTGCCCAGGTCAGTCAGATGATTAGTGGTAGAGCTGGGATTTGGACCCAGATTATCGGACTCCAGATCAGGGAATGGCAGGTCTAGGGCAGCAGATGCCAGAAGGAAGCCCTGCCCTGTGAAGCCCAGCTGCTCACCGCATCCATCAGTGTAAACTGCTCTGCCACCAGCTCTGGAGGGAACACCAGGAGGTTAGGCTTCTCCTCACTCAGCCCATTCTCTGTCGTCACAGGGGATGGGTAGGAAGGCTCAGGTGCTGAAGCTGGTGCTGGCTCTAGCTCTGAAGCTGGAGCTGGAGCTGGAGTTAGAGCTAGAGCTGGAGCTGGAGCTGGTGCTGGAGCTGGAGCTGAAGCTGGAAGTGGAGCTACAGCTAGAGATGAAGCTGAAGCTGGAGCTGAAGATGGTGCTGGAGCTGGAGCTGGAACTGGAGCTAGAGCTAGAGATGAAGCTGGAGCTGGAACTGGTGCTGGAGCTGGAGCTGAAGCTGGAACTGGAGCTACAGATGAAGCTGAAGCTGGAGCTAGAGCTGGTGCTAGAGCTAGAGCTGGAGCTGGTTCTAGAGCTGAAGCTGAAGCAGGCTCTAGCTCTAGAACTGATGTTGGCTCTAACTCTGGAGCTGGACCTGGTGCTGGAGCTGGTTCTAGTTCTGGAGCTGGTACTGGAGCTAGCACTGGAACTGGCATTAGCTCTGGAGCTGGAGGTAGAACTGGCGCTAGAGCTGGAAGACAAGAAATGTTCACCAACATGACTGCCTTTCTTGTGCCTTTCCAAAGGCAGAAAATATCCCACTGCCATTAAGAGAAGCCCACCCCAGGAATGCCACCCCAAGAAATCTTCCCAGACCGCAGTCCACCAGATCAGTGGAGTGGTCTGGGGTTACCCTCAGCTCTGGCCCAACACCAGCCTCTGGCATATCCTTCCTGTGTGGTCCAGCCCCATGTCCCTCCTCATACATTCACACACACCCACCCCTAATCCTCCTCACCCTCTGACTCTGCCTCAGTGGGCTCCGAGTGCTCCAGCTGGGCAAGAAGAAGGTCAGCACGGCGCTCCAGGTCCGAGCCAGGCATGTTGAGCTGCACATAGGCCACCAGCTGCTTGAGGCATGGAAAGTCCGGGGGCTGACAGAAATCCTCAGAGTACTGGTCCAGCCAGGTGCCCAGAATGGAGGAGATGGCACTGGGGGTAGGCGGGCAAGCAGCACAGTCAGAGGAGCCCTGTGGAGGGCTGGGCCCCTGTGCCTGTCCCTGCCTTACAGAGTCCAGCCCCATGCTGCTTCCCAACCCTACTCTGGCTGTCCTGGCAGTGGCAGACCTGGTCACTGAGCAGGGAGCTAGCAGAGAGCCTCAATTCCAGGAAGCTCTTGGTCAATGGTCTGACCAACTCTTCCCTAACTGAGGGAAGCCTGACATACTTCCCTGTCTGTCTCCCCAGCCCCCTCCCACTGGAAAGTAACTCCACAAGGGAAGACGGGGTTGTGTCTGCTTGTTCACTGCAGGGTGCTGGCACACAGTAGGTGCTCCATGAATATATGATGGATGAGAAAATAAACGGAGCCTGTCCTTGCCTCAGCCTTCCCAGGGCACTCGTGGCACCTACACGTGCAGCTTGTGGGCCAACCTGCTGTCTTATGCTTTGTGTGCATGTTTGGGTCTCTTCTTCCCACTGACGCTATTCTCCCAAAGGGCAGGGGCACAGCCATCTAGCCCTACGTGCAACCGAGTACCACGACTGAGGTTCATGAGATTTGGGAGCAGGTGGCTCATCATGCCTCCTGTTCTAGGGTCTGGGATTGGAGAGCAGAGCAGGGATGGGGCCGTTGTGGGGATGGTTCCTCTCAGGATCTGAGCCTCCAGCCTCCCTCTGCTCCCCACGACAGCCAGGGCTCCATTCACAGCTCTCTTTGACTGCTTTCCTCCTGCAGGGGAAGCCCCCAGAATTCATTCCTCTAAGGGGAATCCTAAGATGTGTGGCATCCAGGGCTCTGCCCAGCCCTCCCACAGACCCCCTACTCTTCTGTGGAGACAGAGATCCCTCTCCTTCTAGACCCAAAATCCACTTACTTTTTCAGTTGGTCCTCGGGTCCGCCGTCCTCATCAGAATATGGGAGGATGCATCCGTATCTAGAGGAGGCCGTGAGGGCATCACATCTACCGTACCTGCTTATGATGTCTAGTGTTACTGTCTGACTCCCCGACTAGAATGGAAGCCCAGGAGGGCAGGGATTTTGGTCTGCATAATATATATTTGTTGAATGAATGAAACCAACCAGCATTTTCCCTGCTATCAGAGTGGGCCTCGGGCCTCTTTGCCAGCCCCAAGGGTCCCTGCTGTGGTTACACCAAGGACAGGGACCCACTAGATAGAATCTCAAACCTCCTTCACAAATGGGAAAATAGGTTTGCCCAAGGCCATGGGGTTGTGAGGGTGCGACAGAGAGCTTCTTTGTGAGGGAGAAGAAAATAAGAAATGTGAACGACCCCAGACTCTCCAGCAGCCTTTTCCACAGATCCAGGTTCTGAGTGAGCTCTTTCCACGGCTTATCCCATTTAGTCCCTACAATCACCTGAGGAGGTTGGTCCTCTTACCCAATTTTCAATGAGCAAACAGAGATGAAATGGCATTCCCAAGACACACAGCTAGTAGGTGGCAGAGTAGTCACTGTGCCAGGATGCTCACCTTTTGAACAGCAGGTCCAGAACCTGTTGGGTGGTGGCGAAGGCTCGGTAGGTGCACAGGAAGATGGTGACGTAGGAGAGGTCACTGCCCTGGAAGGCAGGCACCAGGTGTTCCACCAGCTTTTCCAATGTGCCTGCCTTGACTGCCCGCACCTTGCAGGTCTCATACAGGTTCAGGGCTGACTCATTTTCATACTAGGGGTGGGAGAAAGGAGGGACATAGTCAGCAGCAGCACCATGAACCACCAGGAAGGTCGGGGACTAGAGCTGAGACCAGGAACTCCCAGGCCCCCAGTGACTTATGTCAAGAGGTGGGACGTAAGTGCCTCCAGCCAAAAAAGGTGCTTGGCTCTCAAGGTAGAATTTGAGGTGGGGGAATGATGGAAATATTAGTGCTTTCAAGTGATTTTATTAGCTGAGTAATCAGCACTTCCCTGTAATTAGAGCCTGTTAAGAGCATTATCCCAGGGAGTCCTCACAAAGCATCCCATTATAGAGATGAGAAAACAGACGCTTGGGGATGTTAAGTGGCTGCTCAAGGCCACTTGGTCAGAGCCCAGAGCTGTGCAATGTTAGCGCTGTGTGATGTTCCCTCTCTGCTGCATAAGGCTTGGCTGGCTCCTGACACGGAGGGGAAGGGTCTAGGGCAACTGCAGCCCTCCCCAGTTTGAAGGCAGTGCACAGAGTGAACACACACCCATGAGATCCCTTTGGATTGCAAAGCCAGACACTTTTTCTTCTTTCTTTTAGATTAAAGGGAGTTTGAGGATCTGAGGCTATGGTGATTCCAGATCCTACAAAGGGATAAATGCATGGAGAGTCGAGGGTGGGAGAAAGACCCCGGCAGGGCTAAGGATATGAAAAGACAACTCAGGGGAGAAAACCCAAAAGCCTGCTAAACAAATGAAAGGTAGCTCAACTTCCGAGTGGGGTGGTTGGAAATCAAAGCAACACTGTGATTCCACTGGCCACCCTTACACCAGGTTGGCAAAAATTAAAGAGTGAGAACACCTGGGGCCAGGAGGGATACATGGACGCATCCACCGTCATAGACTGCTGGTGGCCGTGTAACTGTTATAGCTGTTTTGGAAAGTAGTCTGGCTCTAGATTATATTATATTTTTAAATATACATATGGACCAGTCCCTGGAAAAGGGCATCATGCTTGGTAAAGTAAAGGGCTAGGGAAAAAGAGGAAGACCCTCAACGAGATGGATTGAGCCAGTGGCGGCAACAATGGGCTCAAGCATAACGATGATTATGAGAATGACGCAGGATCGGGCAATGTTTTGTTCTGCTGTACACAGGGTCACTCTGAGTCAGAACTGACTTGACGGCGCCTAACAACAACAACAATCCTTCAACCCAACAGTCCTGGTCCTGGGAGTCTACCCTGTGCGGGGAAATCAGTATATTAGGACTATATATTCAGCACTGCTGAAATGGCAACAGAAAAGAATCAGGTCCAGGTCCCAAAGCAGTGAAATACTCAATCACTGTGAGAACCAGTCTCTCTTCTGGAATATTCTGCAGCCAAGTCAGGCCACAGCTCCTGATCTAGAGGGGTCACGGTGACATGTTCCATGAGATTGTAAGTGGCAGAGAAGCATATATCATGGCATGAGCCCCTGCCCTTTTTAGGTATACACAAGCCTACTAAGCATGACTTGTAAGGCTTGCAAAAGGTGTGGAAGGACAGTCAAGCAGAATGCTGCAAGGGATACCTGTGGTTGGGGAGTTAAAACACTAAAAACAGTAGCAAAATGCAAAAATACTCATGGCCTAACATGAAATGAAAACAGAATAAAAATGTTTTTCTAATGTTCCTACATTAAAAGTGACTTTGCACCTGGCCAAACCTGAGGCTGGTTGGTGGGCATGGGGGACGAGGGAAGGGTTGGTGGCCAGATCCCTTTAGGAGTGACCGTGGGCCATTCAAAACAGAAAGCCCAGGGAGGAAGCCTGGGGGAATCACCGGGACAGTGTCTGGGCTCTAGGCCATCTCGGGCCATCTGGGGGGCCCTGGGTGTGGACCCTGCAGTGCCCGCACTCACCCCGAGCCAGCGCTGGCCTTTGTTGGCGGCATGGTGCACCGGCCCCTTGCGCAGGGAGATGGTATAAACGACCCCGTTGACCAGCTCCTCACCAATCTCCTGCGTGGAGCTCTGCAAAGACAATGCCCGGCAGCCGGGCCAAGAGGCATCAAGACATTGCCACAGGGACACGTCCCCACACAACCTTCTGTACCCCAGATCAGGCACACATGGGTGTCCAGCCTGGGAAGAAATGAGCCAACAGCTTGATAGCTGAGAATTAACATCTGGGCAGACCAGCGTTGCCCCCAGCACCTGCCCCTTCCCACCCTACCAGTTAAGATCCAGCCATTTCACAGATGGGTATGTGGAGGCTGAGAGACCAGCAACCTGTCCAAGATCATGCTGCCAAGAGTAAATGCTGAAGCTGGGATCCCAAGGCCCTGATATAGCCAACTGCATCCAGCAGGCTATGGCCCCACAGAGAAGGCGCCTCCCCATGACCAGAGGGCCCACAGCCATCCTCACACTTGCTTCCACATCTGCCCAGCCTCGAGGGCAAAGGGCTGACACAGCAGGAGAGGGCAGCTCCTCCTAGTCACCCAACCTAGCCCTGGAGTCAGCAGCACGGGTCTGGAGCAGGTGTAGGGTGTCCCCGATGACCACATCCGAGGCCACTTCCTTCCCCTTCTGCTCATTCATGCCCTGTGCCCGCTTGGGCAACAGAGGAGTTCCCATTTTCCTGCTGTCACCATGTGCACAGGGCAGGGTATAAAACGTCACAGTACTGAGGTCCACGCTGAAGGCTGGAAGTTCCAAGGAACCGCAAAATCATGGGGCCTTGACTGGAACAGCAAAGAAAGGGGAGTCCTCCGGCTGTTCTCCAGACCCCTCGGCCAAAAGGAAAGGCCCTTGTTCTAGAAGGCAGCAATTCTTCCTGCCGGGCAGACTGGCCCGGGGGCTGCACTGTCAAGCCCTGTCTTAGTCCACGTAGCCATGGTCGTCCTGGGCAATACTGCCCCCCTCCCACTACTCCGTCCAGGGAAAAGGAGAGCTCACAGCTGGGAGGAGGGGTTTTGGGGTACAGGGAGAAAGATACTGACCCCTGAGAGCTGCAGGGGGGAACTGGGAAGTGCTAGGTCGGCAAAGGGTCATCAGTGGCATAGTCAATACCAACAGCTAGGATGGGGGCTGAGCCCCCCAACACATGGTGAGTAAGGAGCTCAGAGAAAGTCCGGGTGAAAGTGTGGACTCGGCATGTGACCCACTAGCCCTCAGCATAAGCTGGGCCTTCTGGGTGGGGACTCAGGAACCTAGTGTTCTGTGGGTTGTACCCCCTGACATCAGCACAGTTGGGGTCAGAGATCGGAGGTCTGGCCTTCTTGCCTCCTTCCCACCCCTCAGGGAGGCCGGGAACCTTCCTCCAGAAGTCATTTCCTCTGACACAAGGCCACCCTCCCACTCTGGGCTTCTTACCAACAGGAAAGCTGCTGAAATAACACTCAGTTCCTGACCCTCTGCCTCCTCCGGAGAGAGAACCAGCCCCGTTTCTTGGAAGTTAGTGGGGAAACCACAGGCAACACCCCGCACACTCACACATGCCTTGCAACCCACACTTGGTGGAGGTCCAGCCCTTCCACCGAGGATGGGAAATTCCTGCTTTTGAAGCAGAAAAACCAAAACAGATGCTTGCTTGCTTTTTCCTGCCTCACACATGCCACCTCTGACTAGAAAATCATCCCTCAGGGAGACAGACTTCTGAGGCCTTGGTGACATCTGGAGGCTGCTGTCCACCCTCCGGACCAGGCCTCAACAGCCCCAACATCTCCTCCAGGACTGGAGGTGGCCTCCTGTAAAGGCTGAAGGGTCTCTGCCCTCTGTTCCAGGGCTTTTAGCCCCATCTGGCCCAGCTGGAAGGTCCTTGAGTGGCGCAAACAGTTTGTGCTCGACTACTAACCAAAAGGTTGGCAGTCTGAACCCACCCAGCAGTGCCAAGGAAGAAAGGCCTGGCAATCTGCTTCAGTAAAGATTACAGCCAAGAAAACGCTATGGAGCAGTTCTACTCTAACGCATGGGGTTGCTGTGAGTCAGGATCGACTTGATGGCAAGGGGTTTGTTTGTTTGTTTTGGCCCGGCTAGGAGTCAGGCAATATCCCATCAGCAGTTTGTGGGACCCACATACCAAAGGGCACCTGCACTTGACCCCTCAGGAGCCCAACACAGCGCCTGGCTCCCAGCAGGGCCCCATCGATGCCACCAAATGGAAGTGTTTCCTGGGCCCGGCTGCACAGGCCAACCCATAGGAGGGGCTGGGGCCCGTGGCCTCAGCCATCCCAGAGCAGGTCTAAATAGCGGCTTGTCAGGGAGCCATGGCCCTCAGCTTGCAGCTGAGCAGTTGGCCTGGCCCTGCACAGCTGCCATGTGATCCCCATTCCTCCCCACTGCTGTGGCCCCCTCTGCCAGCCTGGTGGGGGGCAGGGAGGAACTCTGAGAACCACACATGCCTGGGACAGGAAAGCTTGGATGGGCGTCACCACCCCGTCTTGCAGATGAGCTGCTCCCGGCTGTGTGGAGCTAACCCTGTCCTCTCTGCTTCCTTTATGTAACAGCAGCAGCAGCAACAGCAACAAAAACAGACCGTGACGGCAATGCTGAGCACAGGCACCACTGAAACCGTCTCACGGAGAGGTGACAGAGGCGTGGGGCTCTGAAGCCAAGTGGTCCTGGGCCCCATGAGCAGGAAGTGGCATCCTGGCGCATCTATCCCCTCCCGCTGTCAATCACCTTCCAGGAACAGAGAAGGAGCAGCCAACGGCCTTGGCTTCTGCACCCAGGACACTCTGGGACGGGACAGATGGGGCCCTGGTGCCTGCAGGCAACCCCAGGCCACTGGGCCACCCTCTCTGTTAGCGGACAGCGAGCAGGCCCAGGACCAGGCAGCCTATCTAGGTAATGTCAGGCCCTCCAGGGATGCTCTGGTAGTGCTGGGGGCATGCAGGGGAGGAGTAGGGTGGCCTAGTAAACAGCTGATGCGGAGAAAATGCCTTCCCACTGAGGGGGCACCCACAGCAGCTCTGAGCTGACTGTTGGGAAAAGAATGTCACATGGTTGGCTGTGTTCTCAAGGGACAGATCCTCCTGTCCCACTCCCAGCAGGCACCTGCTGATGTCCCCAGGGCCCTGGGACCCAGTCAGCAGCCATGTCTCTGAACACAATGCCTTGCCTTCCACACTTTGGTCAAGGAAAGTGTGGGGTCTGGTCCCCCCAGGGCCCTGATGAGGAGGGGCCAGCAGCATGGACACCTGGGGTGACTCCACACACTGCTGTCCCTTGGAGCACAGCTGGAGCCTGAGAATAAGGAGGGGAAATAGGGCCCAGGTGGTATCTGGTTAGCGTGTCACCAGATCAGCCTTCTCACAGTGACAGGCCAGCAGGCAGGCTGTGTCTCTGGCCGACGGAGGAAGCTACAGGCCAAGCCCCAATCCCCTCAAAGTAGAACAATAGTGGCCAGCAGGGGCCTGATCCCACCCCTTATATCAGGACAGGCCTGCGGTAACCTACTGGGCCTCTCCTTAGCCTTGCCATCTCCCCAGGAGGAGCCCCATGCAGGGCCTCCAGAGCACAAACTCCTCCAGCTGAGGCTAGCTTCTCCTAAGGAGACCTGGCCAAGCGCTGGAGCAGAGGGAGGGAGAGGGCGAGCCTGCCCCAAAGTCTCCTCCTCATCTCACCCGCCCAGGGCCACAGGTGCAGAGGCTGGTCCCCTCAGGTGGGCGGGCAGGAGTCAAATCACAGAGCCTCTGTATGCATGCCATCACTGGCTCAGGGACCTCGCCACACCCACTGGCCAGCTTCCCAGGTCCACTGAGTCACCCAGAGGTCACCCTGCGGCCCTCACCCGGCCACCGTCAGCACCCACCAGCACCCTGCAGCTCTGAACACACGAGGCCCCTCCCAGGGCCCACAAGCCCTCATGGGGGGGCTCTCCAGAGCCCCTCAGCCTTGGCCTCAGTGAGCTTATCTGTGAAATGGGGAGAGCAGCAGCAGCTCTCTAAGAGGGCGACCGTGAGAGGTCAAGAGAGAACCCGCGCAGCTTGCCCAGCTCGGCATCCGGCACTCAGCACACGGCTCACAAAAGCGCTCAGTAAGTGG